GGAGAATAGAGAACGGATTTGCGGCTGCCAGGGACACAGGGGCAATGTGTGGGGATGTGATTCAAAAGAAGAATGACAAGGGAGGTGAGTTCCACTCAGTGAGGAAAGAGTTCTATGGCAATGGCAGGGGTGGAGATGGTTACAAGATACTACACATGAGATCACCTTGCATAGAATACACACACACACACACACACACACACACACACACACAGTGCATATAAACACTGAAAGCTGCATAAGGTCCGTAGTCTAACAATGTCCATTGTCTAATAATAGTCAACCGATGCCAATGCCCTGGTTGTCCCTCTACTACTTTTGCAACTACCTATGAATCCACAATTATATCCAAAAAAAGTTAAGAAGAGAACTAGCAGATAGCTGCAACATGATGATTGATCAGAGTCAGCCCAATGCCCATCCATAGGGGACTGATCAGGTAAACTATAGTCCATCCACACAATGTATGCAACAATAAAAAATCAGGAATATATTTGCCACCTATTGTGCATAAGTGATAAAAGCAAGATTCAGAGCACTGGAGAGACTGCACTACCTACTGTGTGAGAAAAAAAGGGAAATCAGAATGTACCAGAAACACATATTTGCCTCTTTCCACAATAAAAATGGCAAGAACAAATCAGAAGCCAATGAATATGGTTCTCCATAGGGCTGACTGAGGAGCAGGTTAAGAGGATCCAGATGGGAGCAAGATGACTCCAAGTACAACTGTAGTTGTAACTTTTTACTTATGTAAGTCTTTACATCACCAATATCTTCTATTAAGAAAGGAGAACAGAGGCAGGGCACGGTGGCTCACGCCTGTAATCCCTGCACTTTGGGAGGCCGAGGTAGGCGGATCACGAGGTCAGGAGATTGAGACCATCCTGGCTAACACGGTGAAACCCCGCCTCTACTAAAAAAAAAAAAATACAAAAAATTAGCGGGCGTGGTGGCGGGCACCTGTAGTCCCAGCTACTCCAGAGGCTGAGGCAGGAGAATGGCATGAACCCGGGAGGCGGAGCTTGCAGTGAGCTGAGATGGCGCCACTGCACTCCAGCCTGGGTGACAGAGTGAGACTCCACCTAAAAAAAAAGAAATGAGAACAGAAATTCTAAAATTTAACACAAATTTTAAAATCTAAATTATATCAATTTGATGCTGTAACCACACAGAAAATGATTACCTCAGTAACTTCTGAACAAAATACTCTGTCTGTGTACCCCCGAGTGATCTCAATTCTGACAACAAAAAGAACTGCAAAGAAAACTGAAGCCTCATGTGGTAAGTGGGGAACAGGATAATCAAGAGAAGGCCAGAATATCACACTGACCTTAGCATAAAGTGAGCCAAATCTCTAAAAACACAGCCAAGCCAATTTTAACATAGGCAAACTGCCTGAACCTGAACTTCACTCCTTTTAGCCAAGCACTTTACAAACATCGTCTCACTCAGTTGCAGAACAACTGCATAAACCAGGTACTACTGTTGTCCCATTTCCCCAGAGAAATTGGAGTAGGGAGAAGTGGCATACGTCCCCAAGGCCACACAGCTAACAGGAGAACCAGGCTCTGGACCTGCAGGGTCCGGAAGTGCAGAGCCCGTGCTTCCAACCTTTAATTCCTTGGAGGCAGCAGAAAGGAGCTGAGAGAGGAGATGGCCGCAGCCCTGGCTGAAGAGCAGAAGGAAGAAGGGAAAATTCTCCTCCAAGGGAGAAGACCAACATTGCTCAGACCCTAACCCTGATCACACTTCTCTCAAAGCTCTGTGCCCAAGCTTGATCCTCAGGTTGATCTCTTCTCCCACCCTTGACCGCTCTGTTCTCAGTTCTACAGGGTTGACAAAATTCATGTCGACCTAAAACCCAGAATGGGACCTTGCTTGGAAAGAGGGTCTTTGCAGATGAGATCAACGTAAGGGGAGCTCACAGTGGATTAGAGTGGGCCCTATCTAGTCCGATAACTGCTGTCCTATTAAGAAGAGAACATGGCCGGGCGCCGTGGCTCAAGCCTGTAATCCCAGCACTTTGGGAGGCCGAGGCGGGCGGATTATGAGGTCAGGAGATCGAGACCATCCTGGCTAACACCGTGAAACCCTGTCTCTACTAAAAACACAAAAAATTAGCCGGGCGTGGTGTTGGGCGCCTGTAGTCCCAGCTACTGGAGAGGCTGAGGCAGGAGAACGGCGTGAACCCAGGAGGCGGAGCTTGCAGTGAGCTGCGATAGCCCCACTGCACTCCAGCCTGGGCAACAGAGCTAGACTCTGTTTCAAGAAAGAAAAAAGAGAACACACACACACATCACACACACACACATCACACACACACATATCACACACACACATCACACACGCACATCACACATGCACATCTCACATGCACACATCACACACACACATCACACACACAATCACACACACACCACACACACACATCACACACAGACACCACACACACACACCACACACACATCACACACACCACATCACACACACACACACATCACATACACATCACACACACACATCACACATCACACACACATCACACATCACACACACACATCACACACACATCACACACACACATATCACACACACACATCACACATCACGCACACACACCCCACACACACACATCACACACACATCACACATCACGCACACACACCCCACACACACACATCACACACACACATCACACACACACATGCACACACATCACACATACACACACATCACACACACACATCACACACACATATCACACACACATGCACACACACATCACACACACATCACACACACACATCACACACACAATCACACACATCACACATCACACACACACACATCACACACAGACACCACACACAGACACCACACACACACCACACACACATCACACACACATCACACATCACACACACACACATCACACACACATCACACATCACACACACACCCCACATACATCACACACATACATCACACACACATGCACACTCATCACACACACACATCACACACACACACATCACACACACACACGCACACATCACACACATCACACACACACATCACACACACATCACATATACAATCACACACACGCATCACACATCACACACACACACATCACACACAGACACCACACACACACCACACACACATCACACACACACATCACACACATACACATCACACACACATCACACATCACACACACATCACACATCACACACACACACACATCACACACACATCACACATCACACACACATCACACACACACATCACACACACACACACACGCGCGAATGCGCCCTGTGAAAATGGAGGCAGAGCTTTGAGTGACGTGTCTCCAAGGCCCAGAACAGAGGGTGCCAGGAACCGGCAGAAGCCAGGAGACAGCCAAGCAGCTGATCCGCCTCAGAGCCTCCAGTAGGACTCACCCTGACAACACCTTGGCTTTGAACTTCTAGCCTTCACAACTGAGACAATGAACACCCGATGTTTAAAGCCAGCCAGCTATGGCGCGTTATTAAGAGAACCCTAGGAACCCAATACACGACTTTCAAGGACCTTATCCCACTGACCTCCAAGCAGGCCTGGATCCGTGTGTCTCGGTTCTGGGAGCTCCCACCAGCCTGCAGAGAGACCACTGTTCGGGGACTTCCCGAACAGTGACTGAAGAGGAAAGAGGGACTCAAAGAGTATTGCCCCAATATTCCCCCTCCCTCCTCCTAAACTCTACTGGGCTCTCTCTCTCCCCCAGGAAGGCTTCCCTGCTAAATTCTGCCCTGCAACTTGCCCGCTACATTTCCAAGTGCTGCCTTCCCTCTGTGAACTTGAATGGAGTCCTCTGTTTTTTGCACAAGAGCACAAAAGTCTGCCTGGGCTTCCCCCAGCCCTGTATTCCCACACCCTAGGCTGTGCTCATTCTGGGGCTCTGCTCCTGGTGCGTGCTGCTTGGGTCAGTAGAAATGACTAGGAGGTCGCTGGCACCAGGGAAGAAAGAGGGCTGGCCTGGCCATCTGCAGGGCAATCACAATCTCCAGGACAAGGCATTTCTCCCACTTGCCCTTTCATGAATAATGTGGACCTGCCCAGAAAAAGTGAGTATTTGCCTTTAAACCAAAACCTTATCAAGAAAGTAGGTGATATGCCTGGAAGGTCTCCTTCAAGATACTTGTGGGCCTCAAAAGTGGCAGGAAGCGTGAAAGAAAAGGGAAGGCCGCACTCTGTAGAACGAAGTCCTCAAAAGAAACCCAGCTCCAGACTAAAGCCAATCTTGCAGGGCAGCTGGGATTCCCAGCCTGCCTCACATATGAGGAAGCCCTGTCAAACGCCCACCCACCACCACCAGAACCACACGAAGCCAACAGTCCCCGAAGAAACCAAACTCTTTCATAGATAGATAGCAGAATATTCTGTCTCGAAAAAATTATTCTTAATATCCTCAAAGAAATCCAAGCAACTATGGCATCAATAAAATGAGAACAACCAGTCAAGATAAAGGAATACTCAGAGATCGGGAAAGAGTTCCTAAGAGAAAAACCAAAGAATGCAGATGAAGACACGAACCCCCGCCCTCCCTCCAGGAAACCCTGGTGGCCCTGCAGGAAAGGGACTCAGTCTCCTACCCCTAGGCTCCCTGCAGTGGCTCACCCATGGGCCTTGAGGAAAGTCATGTCTGCACTTCCAGCCTGGATTCAGCTGTACCACAGCTATAAAGGGAGAGAGTCAGCCGGGCACAGAGGCTCACACCTGTAATCCCAGCACTTTGGGAGGCCAAGGTGGGCAGACCATGAGGTCAGGAGATCGAGACCATCCTGGCCAACACGGTGAAACCCCATCTCTACTAAAAATACAAAAAATTAGCTGGGCATGGTGGCGCATGCCTGTAATCCCAGCTACTCAGGAGGCTGAGGCAGGAGAATCGCTTGAACCCGGGAGGCGGAGATTGCAGTGAGCCAAGACTGCACCACTGCGTTCCAGCCTGGGTGACAGAGTGAGACTCCATCTCAATAACAATAATAATAGCAATGAAATAAACAAAGGGAGGGCGTCAGTGTCCACCTTTGAGCCAGAAGATTCCAGGGGGACAGTGATCATCAGTGAGTGCCCTGCGGAAGAATGATAATCTCCTGGGTCTCCACCTAGCAGCCTCTCCTCCGATAAGACCTTCCTTTTTGTTTTTCTTAGAGATGACAAGAAAGCCTTACATAAAACTGTCAAGCCTACAACCTCTACCCTCTCAAAAACAACAACAGTTGACAGCCTTCAAAGAGCTCATTACCACACTGGCCTGCCCCTCTGTGGGTCTGCACACCTCCTTCTGCATCACTTCTGACGGGGGCAGGCAGAGCACACTCCAGTAGCAGGTGAGCAGCAGCTCTGTTCTGCCATCCAGCTCCAAGAGCGACAGGAACTTCCTAAGATCCGGGATGAGACAGAGGTGAGACCAGAGAGCCGAGCAGGAATGCCACTGCGGAGAGGGGACTTCATATTACAGAGAGGGATGCTGGAGGCCAAGGGATAGGCAGGGGCCAGACACGGCTGTGTCTGGTTCAAAGCCCACAATCTTCCCGGGTCCTCCATCTGCAAGAAGAGACGGGAGCCACAGGACTCTGGACTGCATGTCTGCCCAGCATACAGCATGGCCCACATGAGCAGATCCACCCAGATGACACTCCAGAGGGACAGGGAGGCTGCTCCCGTCCTCACCCAGAGGAAAGTCCGTCCCTCAGCTTGGAACTCCATCCTTTCCACAGTCGGCCCCACAGCCCAGCCCCACTCCTCCTCCCTTTCAAGCAAGTCCTCACCATCCAGGATCTGCAACATCTGGGGCACCTCCCACATCCACAGCGGGCCCACATTCGACTGACGACAGGGTGCGGGGAGGCGATGGGATGTGGGGCTTATAACAGCCTTAGGGCATTTTTTCCAAATGCCTTTTCTCTGTAGGCCTTCAGGGAGAACAACTGAACAGCCAGAGAAGCAAACGGGAAGCAGAGAAGAATGAAGGCAAAGAAGAAAATTAGAACAAACCCAAAGAACGGTAGAGCCGAAACTGAGCCCTCCCATTCTTTTCCACCTGCTGAACAAGTTGCCCAAAATGCCCTCAGATGCCACCTCCTCTGTGATGCCCTCTGTGACTCCTGCAGGCCAAGTTATCCACTGCTCTGCTAAGATCCCATTGCACCTGTTAGTACCTCTGTCACCTTTAACTATGGGTGGTGAGGTCACTTCCAGGTTTGTCTCCCTCCCTAGCACTGTGAACCCCTCAAAGTCAGGTATACATCCTGTCTCTCCACGTGTCCTTTATGTCTATCACAGCACTGGGAAAATTAAGAAACTCAAAACATACTTGCTGAGAAAAGGAGGTCCAGAAAGGCTGGGGGATTTGTCCCAGGTCAACAGAAAGAAGCTCACAACGAGGCCACACAGAGGAGACAGCCAGGCCCTCCCCATTTCCTCTCCCTCCCCGTGTTCCAGTCCCAACACTATGTGCCCAGGGCCCCCCCTCCAAGCCCGTCGGCCTGGGGCGCCTCTTCCTAGGACCCCCGTGACCCTCAACCCTCCCTCCTCCCTCCATATCTGGCATCAGGCCTGGAATGGAGTGGCCCTGGCCCACTGATGAGGGGTGTGGATGCCAAAGCACCTCCCTGTCAGGCCAGCCAGGCCCCTATTCTGTGTCTCTGCTCCCACCCCTGCCCTTCTCTGTCCCTTGCCCCTGGCTCGCTCCACCCTCGGTCCCCTCACTTGCACCAGGTCCTGCTCACTGAGGGCTCCGGCTGGCTGAGCCTAATAAGGTGGGGGCTGATGGTGTTCCCCTGGGGCAGGGTCAAGTAGCTGTGCTGCCCCAGAATCTCGACAAAGCTCAGCAGGGGCGTGCGCACCCTTTGGGTCACAGACCATCACACGCGTGACAGGAAACGGTTGCAGGATGGCTTCCTGTTCCAGGTGAGCACACAGGGGACCAGAGCAGGTCAGGGAGGTCTTCAAGGACCTCGGGCCTCCTGACTCCAAGTCCACTGTGACCCTTCAGTGGGCGCTGTGGCTGTGACAGACCACCCGTGACTGGACCTGCCCACTTCCGTCCTCTGCTCTGAAGTTCCGACCCACTCCAGCCCCGTCGTCCTCCTGGAGAACTCCAAGCACTGACTTCCCACACTTTGTGTGCCGCAGACACTGAAATTGGCAGGAGTGTTGGTGGAGGGGAATCCAAGTAAAGGAAAGGTCTCATGTTTTGGCCTTTGTGGGGAAAGCCAGGAACCAATCTGGCAAGTCCTGAGGGCCCAGCCTCCTGTGAGCCTGCTGGGAACTGGGCCCTTGTTTTTCAGGCTGATGCATTGTTCTCTATTTAACACTCAAAACTAGTAGGCCCTGCTGCAGCCATCCCAACGCACTGTCCTACACCATCCAGACCTGGGAGTTTCTGCTGCCTGCACCCCTGACTGCAGGGCTTGTTAAAAATACAGCTTCCCAGGCCCCGCTCCAGCCATGAAGCTCAAGGCTTTCTCCTCCCAAGCAACCTGTGGGTTCTTGGGGCCTGAGTCAGTGTCATTTGGAGCTCCATGTCTCCCCTGAGGACACAACAGTGTTGCCCACAGAACAGGCTCAGAAGAGGGCAGGTAGGCACCACCTCTCCACTTCTCAAACTCTTCTCTGGTTTTAAAGAACCCAAACAGAACAGAAGGGCAGGGGTCTCAGCCTGAATTAGCTTGGTGAGGATGCCTTCCTACTCATTCCCTATCTGCCTCCCCTGTCCATTTACATGACATCAGGGTCTCAAGAAAGCAATTGCCCTCCCAGCACAAACACACAGCCTCTGCACTCACAGGTCTCGGATTTTTCTGTATCAGCAGAACCACTGAACTCATCACCTCCTTCTTCAAGGTCTCCATCTGGGGCACTAGAGAAAACACAGGCATGCAGCCGGAGGTCAGCCTCCTCCTCCTCGCCTCTGCTGCTTGGGGAGACATCAGAGGACTGCCGGGTGGGAGGAACGCCAGGTACAGTCCTGGCCATCAAAGGCCAGGTGGAGTCTCCACAGGCATCTCAGCCATCCCTGCGCCTCCAACCACACTGAAACCCACAAGCCTGGCTGGTACTTTCCACAGGAGGGCATTCTAGCCCCATCCCTCGCCGGTCTCCATGACTGCCCACACAAATCTGCCTCTCCAGACAAGCTGTCCTCTCCAATGTCTGTCCATCTCAACCTTTCCAACCTCGGCTGCTGCTCCTCTCCCCTGTGGCCTCCTTGTCCCGACCCATGGTCACAGGCTCCTCCTTGCTTTTGGCCCGTCCCCTCTGTAAAGTCCACCCCAGCTTCCCTGACCTCCCCCTGCTTGCCTTCCTGTCAGCATCACCACTCCCATCTAAGCAGCCCAGAGCATGTTGTCCTGCACTGTCTCACCGTGTGGACAGCCTCACCCTCCCCACCCTACAGGGAGCTCACTGAGGGCAGGGGCTGTCTTCTCTGTGTGTGTTCTCCATGCCTGGCACAGTGCTTAGCACACAGCGAAAGGTTGACACCCACGCCTGATTGGAGGCAAAGCCTGCTCTTCCAGGCAGTAATCACAGATAAACCACTCTGAAACCATTCCAGAGCAGGCCCTGTTCTCGGCACCTCACATTTACTCACTCCACCCTCACTAAAAATCCCTAAAGGGAACAATTATTTTTACCTCTGTTTTTCAAATGAAGAAATAGAGGCACAACCTAAAAGTCATTTGCCCTAGGCCACATTGCTAGTGAGAAGCACAGCCAAGATCCGAACCCACTGAGATGACTCTGCATTTAAAATCGTGCTTCTAACTACTATACTGGACTGTCTCCAGAGAAAGCAGATTTCCCTAGGAACGATCGAGTCCTAGAACCCAGGACTGTGCCCCATTGCCACTCACCTCTGCAGGACACATCCCTGAAGGCTTGCAGGGCTGCCACTGCCTTGGCAGGCTCCTCGGGTTTGATGACGCTTTGCAGGAAAATCACCAGTTGATCGCCGCCGTATAACCTGACTGTAAGAAGGGTGTGAATACAGGGCAGTCAGGGGTATGTTTAAACGGCAGGTAATACCCAGGCTTAAATCATGCTCACAGCAAACCACTGACCATGAATTGGACGAAAGAAAAAGAAAGAGAACCAGGTCCACCCAGCACTTGCCATGTGCCGAGCATGTGCCAAGTGCACGTCCTGCCCCACATACCTGCCCACAGGCAGCGCAGGTGTCCATCGGTGCTGTCCTGCCGTGAGTACCTTTCTGAAATGGCGATCATGCCAGGAGAAAGGGCAGTCAGCCCCAGGTGAGGCAGTGGGAACAAGAGGGGTGGGGTGGGGCCGTGGCTATGCCCTTTCTGATTCCCTCAATTTCAGGCAAAGTTCTCATTAATTACTTCGAATCTTGTCTCGGAGGATGGAATTCCCACCTTCCCATAGGAACCTAGGCCCCAACTCCAGCCCAGAGAGAGACCAAAGTGGTCCTGAGTCACACGTGGGCGCACACACACACACACACACACGGCTAGGGAACCATATGAACTTAGTATGTGGAAAGCTCTCAGAGCTGAGCTGTGGTTCAGCATGGAGTAACAATCTGAGTAGTATTTGCCACTTATCTGTAGGGAGACCAAGGCCATCAGGCCTGGGAGGATGGAAACCAGGGACCCTACATGTGAAGAAGGAAACTGAGGCATGAAGCCGTGCAGTGCATGGCAACCAGGCTGTAAGGAGAACAGAAAACTGGAACCCAGGAATCCACATTCCCAGCCGCAGAGGGAACAAGACAGAGGACATCAAATTAAATATAAAGAAGGCGTCATCCTTTTGTAAAATGTTCAATTGTCCTCTGCCTACTCCACAACACAGAAGACCTGGCACCTCCCACGGGCTGAAGGAGGGCCTCAACCTTCTGCCTTTTCCCTAGAGTTCAGGGGAAGCCACAAAGGCTTGTCAACCCAGAAAGCACACAGGATGTATCCAAGTTACCTCCTGGAAAACGTCCCTCTCTGTGCCCAGAATCCAGGCTGTTTCAGATGTGCCTGTTTCAGAGACGCCTGCAGTGTGTGCAGCTAAGGTCGCCATGTCAAAGACCCCTGTACCATCTGGAGGTGGTGACCTGATCTGGGGAAGAAGAGAGAGAGGGCCAGGACAGGCTGCCTCCAGCCCGCAGCACTCACCAGCTGGAACAGCACGCCTGTGATATTCCCCAGCTGGGGCTCCAAGTTGACACCTCCACGGCCACTGAGAGCCAGAGCCTCGGCCAGCTGGCAAATGCACTGTGTGCACAAGGACAGAGTGAGGACAGGTCGTCCCAGCCCTTTCCACAGCCTCGAGGGAAGTACTCCTTCCTCATGTCTTCGAGGTTGGTCCAAGCCCTTACGATTTCACACGGCCCTCTTTTTTTTTTTTTTTTTTTTTTTTTTCCGAGACGGAGTCTTGCTCTGTCGCCCAGGCTGGAGTGCAGTGGCGCAATCTCGGCTCACTGCAAGCTCCGCCTCCCGGGTTCACGCCATTCTCCTGCCTCAGCCTCCCGAGTAGCCGGGACTACAGGCGCCCGCCCCTGCGCCCGGCTAATTTTTTCTATTTTTAGTAGAGATGGGGTTTCACCATGGTCTCGATCTCCTGACCTTGTGATCCACCCACCTCGGCCTCCCAAAGTGCTGGGATTACAGGCGTGAGCCACCACGCCCGGCCGACACACGGCCCTCTTGAGCCTTCGAGGCAGGACCAAGGTGTAGCTCTCCCGTCGCTTGACACGACCAGGACTGGACCGTTCCCCTCACCCAAGAGGCTGCCCTGATTTTCAAAGAACCCCATGACTCCAAGAAAACCTTAAGGGAATCCAACACTGCAAGTGTTGGCTGACCTGAAAGAAACAGGAGTCAACCTAAGCGTCCATCAACAGACAAATGGGTAAAGAAATTGCGGCATGTATTAAAAAATGGAATATGATGTAGCCGTTGAAAAGAATAAAAATTCTTTTATTTTTAATAAAATTTTAAAATGCAAATAAAAATCCTATAACATCGGCCTCACGGAGGCAGATTTCTGAGATGGCCCCCAAAATTCCGGGGTCCTGGTACACACACATCTTCTGTCAGTTACTCAGTGACTCAGTAATGGGTGTTGATGGGAAGGGATTTTGCAGTTGGCATTTATATAGGGGGATGATCCCTGTGGGCTTGACCTAACCACGTGAGCCCTTCTACATCTGGGTCTAGAGGTCAAAGGAAGGGAAGGCAGCGAGACTCAAGGGCGAGAGGGATCCAGTGAGGAAGCATTGCTGGCTCCGAAGCTGGAGGTGCCTCGGGGCAAGGAACGTGGTTGGCCTCCCTGAGGTGAGCGTTGCCCCGGCTGACATCCAGATGGAAAACAGGGGATTCAGTCCTACAATCACGAAGAGTACGTATTTTGGTAATTTGTGACACGTCAAGAGAAAACGGATGCAGCTCCACACTGTGCTTTCACGGCCATCGTCCTGACGGAACCTCCTCCCACCCTTGAGAGGCCGTCGCGCTGTTACCGTTTTACAGACGAGAAGGAGGAGGCTCGGGAAAGGCAAGGGATCGGCTCAAGGTCTCACCCCTGGTAAACGCCACTTGAACGCCAGTGGTCTGCACAGGCAGCCTGGCCACACTGCCTCCCAGGCATTCTCCTTTCAGGGCTGCTGTGAGGACAGAGGTGTAAGAGCACCTGGCAAAGACCTGCACACAGGAAAACAGCTCATCACTGGGTTAAGGCGGTGAGTGTCCTTAGCGAGTGCCCTGGGTCTCAGGGTCACCCTGTAGGAAATGGCCAAGTCGTTCCAGGATTCGTGACAGCTCCATGATTTGTCTCCCCATCGTCTTTTGCAGTTACTGCTGAGAAACGTAGCTTGCTTGTCCGTCCAACACACGGGGCATGTCCTATGGAGATGCCCAGAAACTTCTCCCCACGCACAGTGGTCTTTGACAAAGGGGGCAGGGTCACTCAGGACACGTGCATTCTGACCAGCCTAGGCCTTGAGCCAGTGTGTCAAGGTCACACAGAGGTCTCCTGGGTCACACTGCTCCCTTTCTCTGCGCCTCTTCTTCCCTCAGAGCCCTTTCTCACATCCCTATTCCCCGCAGAAATCTGCACTCCCCATCACCCCAGCTAAACCTTCTTCTTAGTCATTCTTTCTTACTAAGGCATAAACTGCAGCGGCATAAAGCAGGAGCTCTGCATCTGGGGATTAAGGATGAGTTTCACAGGGCCTGAGACTCTCTGGGATTGTGTGCAAAATCTTGTGCAAATGTGCCTTCACCAGCTTCTCAAAGCTGGCCCCGAGTCTCCAAACGGGTTGAGAATCACCAGATAAACAATTTTCCCAAAGTTCACGCAACCTGGCTCTTCAGTGCTCCTGTGTGTTTTATAAAACATGACTGCACCCCAGTCCCCGGGCAGCAATCATTGCAGGCTCTGCAGGAACACATAACAGCAAGCATCCATGAAATGGGAGGATGCTCCAGCCACGGGGGCATTTCCAGGGCACAGGGAGGGCTTTTCTCTGCCCCTTGATTTCACTCCACAGGAGTCAGCACCTTCTCATCTACCCAAAAGGTGGCCCCACCAGCTGGCCCTGCAGTGAAAAGGTTCTCCAGGCTCATGCTGTTCCCTCTACTTTGTTTTTGTTTGTGAGCTGAGACTGCACCACTGCCCTCCAGACTGGGAGACAGAGTGAGACTCTGTCTCAAAAGAAAAAAAAGAACAAAAGAAAAATTGGATATATTTATGGTGCACAAGGTGGTGTTTTTCAAATATGAACACACTGAGTTATGTAACATGCGTGGCCTCACACAGTTACCATTTTTTGTGGTGAGAACACTTCAAACCTACTCTCTTCACTATTTTCCTGTCTGCACTGTGGTGTTGTTAACTCTAATCACCATGGTATACAGCAGATCTCTGGAACTTCTTCCTCCTGCCTAACTCCGACAAGCATCTCCCCAGTCAGCACCCCCAGCCCTTGATAACCACCATTCTACTCTCTGTTCCTTTGAGTTCAACTTTTTCAGATTCCACATGTAAGTGACACTGTGTGGTTTTGCTTCTCTGTGTGGTTTCTGGCTTATTTGCTTAATGTTATGAATGCCCTTCATATTCATTCATGTCACGAAGGTTCTTTTTTTTTTTTTTTTTTTTTTTTTGAGACAGAGTTTCGCACTCGTTGCCCAGGCTGGAGTGCAGTGGCGCGATCTCAGCTCACCGCAACCTCCGCCTCCCAGGTTCAAGCGATTCTCCTGCCTCAGCCTCCTGAGTAGCTGGGATTACAGGCATGCACCACCACACCTGGCTAATTTTTGTATTTTTCTCCTACCTCAACCCAGCCCGAGTTAGAATGTTCCCAGTATAATTTGCCAAAAATGTAATGCCAAAAAAAAAAAAAAAACACCCTTTAAAGACCTTTACATTTTTTCTTGTTAACTTTGGTGTTACATATTTCTTAAAACATTTATTTATGGCTGGGCGAGGTGGCTCACACCTGTAATCCCAGCACTCTGGGAGGCCAAGGCAGGCGGATCACGAAGTCAAGAGATCGAGGCCATCCTGGCCAACATGGTGAAACCCCATCTCTACTAAAAATACAAAAATTTGCTGGGCTTGGTGGTGCTAACCTGTAGTCCCAGTTACTCAGGAGGCTGAGGCAGGAGAATCGCTTGAATCCGGGAGGCGGAGGTTGCAGTGAGCCGAGATCGCGCCACTGCGCTCCAGCCTGGTGACAAAGCGAGACTCTGTTTCAAAAAAAAAAAAAAAAAAAAATTGATTGTATTTCTGTACAACTGTAGTTCTAGCAATGAACAATCCAAAAACGAAAATTAGAAAATTATTTCACTCAAAATAACATCTCAAAGAATAGAATATTACGAATAAATTTCACAAAAGCAAGACTTGTACACTAACAACTTTAAAACATTGTTGAAAGAAATTAAAGAAATTAAAGATGACTTTAAATAAACCAAAGCTATTCCATGTTTATGGATGAGAAGACTAGAGATTATTGTCAATATTCCTAATTGGTCTACAGGTTTAACCCAATTCCTATCAAAATCTCAGCTGCCTTTTCTGCAGAAATTGATGAGCTGATCCTAAAATTCATATGGACATGCAAAGGACCCAGAATAAGCAAAACAATCCCGAAAAAGAAGAACAAGGCTGGAGGACCTATCTTCCTAATTTCAAAACTTACTACGAAGTAATCAAGTGAGTATGGTATCAGCATAAGGACAGATGTATAGGTCACCGGAGAATAACTGAAAGCTTGGGCTGAGTGCTCATGCCAATAATTGCAGAACTTTGGGAGGCTGAGTTTGGGGGATCCCTTGAGGCCAGGAGTTTGAGACCAGCCTGGGCAACATAGAGAGTGAGAACTGTCTCTATTAAAAAAAAAAAAAATTGAATGGAAGTGTGTGCTGGAGAGAGAGCACTGTGATCCAGGGTTTGGTCTTTGGAGGCAGACTGCCTGAGTGACCATTTCAGGCAGTCTGAATTAAATTAATTTAAAAATTAAATTAATTTAATTTTTAAAAAATTAGCCAAGCATGGTTGTGCGTGCCTGCAATCCACCTACTCAGGAAGCTGAGGTGGGAGGATCTCTTGAGCCTAGGAGTTTGAGGCTACAGTGAGCTATGATTGGCTGCTACACTCCAACCTGGGCAATGGAAAGAGAACATGTCTAAAAAAAAGTAAAAAGAGGCCGGGCGCGGTGGCTCAAGCCTGTAATCCCAGCACTTTGGGAGGCCGAGACGGGTGGATCACGAGGTCAGGAGATCGAGACCATCCTGGCTAACACGGTGAAACCCCGTCTCTACTAAAAAATACAAAAAACTAGCCGGGCGAGATGGCCGGCGCCTGTAGTCCCAGCTACTCGGGAGGATGAGGCAGGAGAATGGCGTAAACCCCGGAGGCGGAGCCACTGCACTCCAGCCCGGGCGACACAGCAAGACTCCGTCTCAAAAAAAAAAAAAAAAAAAAAAAAAAAGTAAAAAGAAATAAAGGCCAGGTGTGGCGTCTTTCACCTGTAATCCCAACATTTCAAAGGGCCATGAAGAGAGGAGCCTTTGAAGCCAGGAGTTCAAGACCAGCCTGGGCAATGCAGCGAGACTCTGTCTCTACTAAAATAAAGTAAAATAAAATAAAATAAAATAAAATAAAATAAAATAAAATAAAATAAAATAAAATAAAATATTAGCCAGGAATGGTGACGCACACTTATAGTCTCAGCTACTTAGGCAACTGAGGCAGGAGGATGACTTGAGCTCAGGAGCTTGAGGCTGCAGCGAGATATAATCATACCACTGGCACTCCAGACTGCACAACAGAATGAGACTCTGTCCCCCCAAAAAATGGTTAATTAATTAATTGAAGAGTAACTGAAATCCCAGAAAGAAATCATTACATTTAAAGTCAATTATTTGACAAATGGGTCAAGAAACTTCATTTGGAAAGAAATAGTCTTTTCTTGTTTTTGTTTTTGTAGAGACAGGTGTCTCACCATGTTGCCCAGGCTGGACTTAAACTCCTGGACTCAAGCAGTACTCCTGCCTTGGCCTCCCAAAGTGCTGGGATTACAGGCGTGAGCCACTGTGTCCAGCCAGGAATAATCTTTTCAACAAATGGTGGTGGGGAAATAGGATATCGATGTGCAAATTATGTCTAACACCACACACAAAATTAACTGAAAATGGATCACAGATCTAAATGTAAAAACTAAAACTATAAAACTCTTAGACGAAAACATAGGAGTAAATCCATGTGTTCTTGTGTAAGGCATTGATGTTTTTAGATACAATACCAAA